GCGAAAGCGCCGTGACCAGCCTGAGCGGGAAGGAGATCTGGAGCTTAGCGACAGACGGAGGCCTTGTCCACACGGCCTCCAAAAAGTGTCTCAGCGCACGTGGCCAGACAAATGCAGACACGCCGGTGGAGCTGGTGCCGTGTGATGCGGCTGGCGGCGTGCCCAAGTGGGAGCTGCAAGCCAATGGCCAGATCAAAATGGCGCAGAGCAACATGTGTGTGAGCCATCTTGGAGGGTCCAACTCAGTGGTGAACGCAGCAGCAGCAGCGTCAGCCTCGGCAAGCTCGACGTTGGATCCCCATCACGGGGCGGCCCTTGCCATTGACGGTGTGGCGTCCACATACTGGGTCTCGAAGATGGGCGAGGCGGGTGACGTCGCCTTGCTCTTGGACTTTGGAGAGCCCCTGCGTGGATCTGCGCTGGATATCGACTTCGAGTTTGTCCCTTCCGGTTTTGCAGTGCACGTGGCAGGAGCAAGGCCGGGGGAGTGGCTACAGGTGTTTGCTACGGACGCGAATGTTCTGAAACATGTGAAGATCCCACTGGATGCGGCCAAACCCACGTCAGCAGTCAAGCTTGTCATGCAGACTGCTCACCCAACGCTGGGCGTCCTGGGCGGCCACAAGCTTTTCGGCGTCCGCTCCATCAAAGTCCTGACGCGCCTGCTGCAGCCCGTGCTGGTGCCGTGTGCAGCGGCAGCGAAAAGCCCCGATGCCAGGGACAAGTTCTTTGCAGTAGCGGTGAATGCTTTCGACCCGAAGGCTTCTGCGACGTTGGCGGCCGAGTTGCCTGCGCTGGAGTCTGCAGACGCGGCCTTGTCGGCCGTTGTGGTGGAGCTTGCTGGAGCATTGCCTGCCATGAGCTCCTGCAAGCCAGCAGGGTCTGTCTTGCTCCAGGCCAATGGTACCATGGCCAAAACTCGGCAAACTCGGCAGGCCAGGCGCTCCGGCTTGGATCTAGTGCTTGATGTGACCCAGGAAACTGCCCTGCTGCAAGAAGCAAGGGCGACTGTGATCGCAGCGCGTGGTTTGCTGGTGTAGAAGAGAGCAAAGTCTGGGTCCTGGGTCTTGCAAAGCCGTAGCGTTCGGCTTGGTGATGTTCCGTGTTCCCAAGAGATCTGTGCTGTCTCTCGGCGCTGTACGCTTGCACGCGCAGTCGCTCAGCAAGTGCATGAAGCGAACGCTCACATGCACGTGTGCAGTCTACAAGAAGACAACAGTGTGTGCAGGTGCAATGAAGCTACATGAAGTTACTGTGTCACAGTGTTTGTGGGCTCTTGTTTGAGATTTGTGTGGCCAAAGACAACGATCTCACAAGTCCCACGCTTTCTGCTGCTTGCTGTGATGTCACTTCTTCGTGCTTCTGCCGTGGGGTGTCTCCTTGCTGCCCAGCTGGTGCAGCCACAAAGCAGCCTGTTTTAGGTTGTGACGGTTGTGGCAATCTTGTTTGCAAGAGGTCTTGAGCAGGGCGGAGCGCGCCAACGTCCGTGTCATGGCGGCGGGTCGTCGTGCGAACTCTGGACTTCTGGAAGTGCAGACGAGCTCTGGATCGTACGGGTCCGTGTGCGAGATGAATGCCGAGGCAGCCAACGTGGCATGCAAACAGATCGGCTATGATTTTGGCGTCTTGAGCCCATCGCCGTGTGCCAAGTATGGAGGTTTGAGTTGGTGTGGCGCAGCGGGGTCTCCCGTTGCCGTGAAGAACTTGAAATGTTCGGGAGCAGAGCTCAGTGTCGATGAGTGCAGCTCAGAAGAAGTAGATGACTCGTGCCTGAGCCACAGCAGCGATGCCATTGTTTTCTGTGGCATGACCTCCTTGAAGGCGTTTTCAGACGGCGAGCTGCGCCTGGTTGGCGGTGCCGGTGCTCCGGCCCTGCCCGGTGAGGCTGGTCGGCTGGAGATGTTCCGGGCCGCCTCGCAAGTGTGGGCGCCCGTGTGCAAGCTTGGCTTCACCAGTGGCTCTGCCTCTGTGGCTTGCAAGCAGATGGGGTACTCTGGATCTGCAGGCTTTGCCGGTTGCACGTCCAAGGAGACGTGTGGGGCAGTGCCGCCAGAGGTGTCGGAGTTGACTTGCGGTGGCGCCGAGACGACCGTGCTGGAGTGCTCCATGTCAGCAGGAGACGACGTATTCTGTGCGCCGCAGGAGTCACTGCTGCTGACTTGCGCTGGGCACGGCAACCCCATCGGACCACCAACAAATCTGTGAAAGGCTTGCAGGCTACTCTGTACCTCTGGGGCAACCATGGTTGCAGCGTGTTGTGGTGAGCGTTTTGCCTTGTCACTTTCGGCTTGCTTGTGGTTGGTCACGACTTGCCTGCTTGTTTTTTGTTTTGAGCTTAGCCAACCGATCTATGCGTGTGGTGTTCACTAGCGAGTGTTTTTCTTGCGTTGCTGTGTAGCTGTGGAACACAGAGGCAGACCTCAGGACAGGTTCATTCAGCTCCTCATTTTCATTGCTGGATATTGCGGTGTCCGCTTGCTCTGCTTGCATAACTGTGCCAGCGTAGCGGGTTAGCGCATGAAGCGTCTCGTTGTTCTTCTTTCGCGTCGTTGGTTGTGGCTTGTGGCTCGCGTAGCCATTGCACTGCGAAGCAGGTGCATGCAGCTTCTGGTAGATTTCGCGTGCTAGGCTAGGTCGCATTCGACTTCCCGCCACCGCCCCACTCACCTCCAGGAAGGAAGTTTTCGGTCGACGTAGCACAGTTGGCATAAGGCTAGCTGTGGATCGGTTTTCCTGCGCATCCCGCTGAACAAAAGAAGGCTTGAGCGTGTGCGCTGTTTCACGGTGGGCTGCAAGCGTGGTAGGGTGGGAGTCCTGCGACTTGAATTAAGAGACGGTGCTTGTCAGCGGCGTGACTGCGGAGGCTGAAACTTGCGTGGGTCGAACTGGAGGGAACCGGAGGGCTCTCTTTGTCTCTCTCTCTCTCTCTCTCTCTCTCTCTCTCTCTCTCTCTCTCTCTCTCTCTCTCTCTCTCTCTCTCTCTCTCTGTTCTCTCTCTCTCTTCCCTCCTCTCTCCTCTCTCTCTCTCTCTCTCTCTGTCTCTCTTCCTCTCTCTCTCTCTCTCTCTCCTCTCTCTCTCTCTCTCTCTCTCTTCTCTCTCTCTCTTTCCCCTCTTCTCTCTCTTCTCTCTATCTATCTCTCTCTCTTTCTCTCCTCTCTCTCTCTCTGTTCTTTCTGTCTCTGCTGTCTCTGTCTCTGTCCCTCGGTCTCTGTCTCTCTGTCTCTGTCTGTCTCTGTCTCTGTCTCTGTCTCTGTCTCTGTCTCTGTCTCTGTCTCTGTCTCTGTCTCTGTCTCTGTCTCTGTCTCTGTCTCTGTCTCTGTCTCTGTCTCTGTCTCTGTCTCTGTCTCTCTCTCTCTCTCTCTCTCTCTCTCTCTCTCTCTCTCTCTCTCTTACTTAAGTGGTGGTTTGCCGTGATTGTCGCGTGGCAGCGCGAAGTGGCCGGACAATGCGGCATGTTTCTGCTTGAAGCTGTGTGGCTGAAGCGCAGTGATGTTTGTTTGACCGGTGTGTAGACCGGGAGCAGAGTGTGGGACTCGCCCTGATTTTCGATCTCCCGCCCGCCCTTGCCCGATCGAAAATCTGGGCAGGGGCCACCGTTTGTCAGCGACAGGCTGATGGGGGGATACATTTCTGTTAGCGTGCGGCTGATGCATCGTTTTACTAAGCAGGGCTTTTGGCCATGCGGTCAGTGTAGATTCTGGCTGTTTCTGCCACCGCCTTTAGAGAGAGCATTGCGTGCAGTCGTCTTGTGCTGGGCCAAGGGTGTCCGGGTTCGGTAGGATCCCTTGGTGGGTGCTGGGGTGAGTGTGTGGCTCGACTCGTGCGAAAGCGCCGTGACCAGCCTGAGCGAGAAGGAGACCTGGAGCTTGGCGACAGATGGAAGCCTTGTCCACGCGGCCTCCAAAAAGTGTCAGCTGGTGCAGTGTTGGCGGCGTGCCGAGGTGGGAGCTGCAGATCAAAATGGCGTAGAGCAACATGTGCCATCTTGGAGGGTCAAACGGGTCCAATTCAGTGGTGAACGCAGGGAAAGCTTGCGCGCCCTGGGCATGCCATGCGCCCGCGCGTACACAGTGTGTTGGGTTGATGTTGCTTGATGCGTTGCGACATGTTGAGACTTGTTCAGCTTTGTGGTGTTGCTGCTGTCAGCTTCGCTTCGAAAGCCCACCGGCCCGCCCCTTGAGTGTGGGTGATTTATCTGTCTGTCCAAGGACAGAGGTTCGAGAGTGTGTAGCCCCCCCCCATGGCCAGCTGCTGCTGTGCCTGGGGGGTGGTGCTTGCGTGCGGTCCATTGGACTTTGGAGAGCCCCGCGTGGATCTGTGCTGGATATCGACTTCGAGTTTGTCCCTTCCAGTGCACGTGGACGGACCAAGAACCGCCCAACAACAGCCACCCAACCCAGCAAACCCAGCGTCCCCAGCGTTCCGGCGTCCCCAGCGTCCCCAGCGTCCCCAGCGTCCCTGGCGTCCCTGGCGTCCCTGGCGTCCCTGGCGTCCCTGGCGTCCCTGGCGTCCCTGGCGTCCCTGGCGTCCCTGGCGTCCCTGGCGCTGACGCTCCGGCTCAAGTCTCTAGACGTTCGTCCACCTTTCTGCAAGACAGGTGAAAGAGTCCTGGCGGGCAGGGTTTGTCTTTGTGCAGGGAAGATCTCGAAAGGTTCTTGCTAGTGGCTTGTATTTTCGATCCAGGGACTTTGGTAGTTCCATGCTAGGCTGGCTGAAATCAGCTGAACTCCTCGATTTGCGCATCCCCAGCAAAATGATGCACAGGGTGGGCGGGTGGGCTCTTTTGTGAACACAGCTCTAGAGACTTGCTTGGCCAAAGAGGGTGCAAACTCAGACATCCTGACGTTGCGAGACAATGAACCTGTTGGGTACTTTGCTGTGCCTCCCCGTCTTGCCTGTTGCGCAAGCAGCGTTGCAAGACTACTTGCGCTTGTCGGGGGTGACCGCGTCCTGCGAAGTTCCCCTGCAAAAGCTTACTGCCAGCTCGTGGGCCGGTGCC